ACCTCTTTCCATTTCCAAAATTGTCTTTTCAGGTATTTCCTATTCCCTGCTCAGGTGCCATTCTCAAAAGCTCTGCATGCAGGAGCACAGATCCAGCAGAGGACTCTTACTCAGAACCAAAAGCCAGCTTTTCCATAGCTTTGCTACCACATTAATAGCAGGCACAGCTGGAGAGGCAGCCAAGAAAGTAAAAGCAGTCATTGTCTTCTGATCCTACCTAGACACTTCTCCACAACACAATTGGCTTCTTGGTAAACACCAGTCACATCAAATACTGATAAAAACAGCACAGTGTAACAGGAGACATGACAGTAATGCACATGAACCAGTGGCAATCAAGCAACTGGGAATGGAACTGGACCTGCTCAGCAAAACTTCATCCATAAATATTTCACTGAGCCCTCAGGAGTTACTCTTTCATACATTTTACTTTGACTGTTCCAAAGTCCTATATGAATTTGGCCAAAAAGTCACACCTCAAGCCATAGCTAATTTTACATCTATTTAGTATCACTCTTCATGCAGAAACTGTAGACAACAGATTGTGGGAGAATAGGAATGGGACTGTGGCTGATCCCTGATGGGGTGCAGCTGTGTAAGGCAGATGAACAGATTTGAAGAAGAAGCCTGGAATGCTGATGTGTACTGACCAACAACAAAAGAGTAAAAGGGCACACAGGTGTTATGCATGTGAGAAAAAAGGTATAACAAGTGGTACTGGGAAATAATAAAGGGCATCAGTTGTGTACCCACTGTTAGGAACCTCCCTTAAGCAGTCTGGAATATCCAGAAGCCTGAAAGCCTCCTTGTGTACCCTGTCCAGGAGACCTGCAGCCTGGAGTTGGTTTACAAATATATTCTCACACGTTCAAGCACTCATGAAGAGCTAGTGCCTTGGCAATGCTCGAGACAATTAATTACAGAAAGTGCTCAGTAAATAAATGTTCCATTTGAGTTGCTTCCTTTGTTCTGGTGACAAACCACACAAAGAAGGTTGAATTCAAATTCTACTTCAACCACACATGCAAATAATTCCTTCTCCTTTAATGCAGACAGAAATAAGGGAGATTTACTCACCACTTCCCTATTTCTGAAGGAACTGAGACCACATTGGAAGAATCCTATTATATTGCAGGTAGCTTATGGTTTCAGTTAGATCAGCCAGAGCTGTTTGTGAAGTAAGGAGAGATGTTTGCTGCCTATTTCCTGCCAAAGAGTGTGACAGGCAGCTGTGTGTTCTGAGGTGAGGTTGCATGCAAGGTGCTGAACAGGGGAAGCCACTTATATAATAAGAAAATAGGTTTAATGACCTGCAGGAACACTTGAACAAATACAAGCACTTCCCAGGCTCTCCCTAACCAAACCTCACGAGTTTACCTTTAATGAATCAATCTGTCAGTCATGTGAAATGAGTTCAGCTATCAATGAAAAAACAATAAATGTACAATAATGAGGAAATGACCTAATGGACCAAGGCAGATTAACTTAATTTGTTATTAATTAGTTGCCCTCAGGAGAAACTGTAGAGGGAGTGGCCAAACACCAGGATAAGGGTTAACAGAATACTTCAAATAAATGAGATTTTCAGTTTTGGTATGCTCCAGGAAGAATCAAAGAAAAGAAAGAAATAAAAATATACTGTTCTCTGCTTGCTGGCAAGACCAGTGGTACATGTCGCTGCGGATAAATTAAATTAAAGCCCGCGTGCAGAAGCATTTAATCAGGAAGAACAAGCAAACAAAGTGAAACACTATCAGCCTTGTTTGGTTCTCATCCTGGCCTTACACTAAAACTGTTCTTAGCAACTTCTTTTTTATAATTACATTAATTACCACATTCTGGGGAGCAAAATAACCCTGAATAGCAATTACAGCCTCTCCAAGGCTAACAGAAACACTACTAAATAAAGAACATAATTATGTAGAGTTCCATGCCTAGGAGAAACTACTTCAGCTACAATTTCTCTTTGCTATCAAGTCTCCTGTATTACAGATTTCTTTATAATTGTATTTATACAAGCAACAACAGCAAAGAGGCAGCAGCAGTGCGCTCATCTATGTTTCCTCTTCATCTGTTGAATTCTTCTGCTTAAATAGCAGATTCTAAAACTAACATGAAAACATTTTCACTCCTGTTCTCTTCTATCAAAAGAAATCTGCCAATGGCCAAAGCACTCACCATGCTGACCTGTCCAGCCACTGTCCCACTCACAAGCCCTCTACTCTGCTGCCCTTTTGCCATTCTCAGCAAACGCTTTCCACAAACCTTCCTTGTCCATACCTTGGCAATCTCAGATTGCTTCTTTCTTCCACCTCATTTCTAACTTCCTCATCTCTTACCCCTTGCCCTCTTAAAAGACCTTTTCCTGGAAACAATTTTGTCACATTAAGTCAGGCAGAATACTGTCCAACTTTGTGCACTGATGTGTGAGGGATGAAATAAAGACTGGGACATTTATGTATCGCTTGGACACAGTAAGCAAATTTAGCTCAGGAAACTTTCCAAATTAATGCCCATGCACTAAGGTCATTTCCCATTTCCTTCAAAAAACAGAAAGTGTTTTTGGAAAGAGGAATTTGTCCCAGAGACTATTCTCAGAGGCTCAAATTAGCCGTTCATGTTTTCCATTCCAGACAAATACACTAAAGCTTTCTTGACATTAGGTCTTTTCAATCAACTGCTCCAGTCTCAATCAATGGACTCTATTCAGAAATAAAGCAGGAGTCATAACTAAGAAGCAAAAAGGAACTCATCTGATTTGTTTAGGTTGTGTTTTTGTTATCCTATATTCAATTGTTACATGTTCTACTATGCAGGTTCCACTAAACAAATCAGGATTTCTAGGAGGCAGAAGAATCAGATGTTCACTCATCCAAAAAAATTTGGCCTGTCACATTAACTTATACAAATCTCCCCTGAATATTCTGCTTCTAATATCCAAATACAGACTTCTGCATCTTTGCAACACTAAGATTAGCAGGATAAATAAGAAGAACATATTAGGAACACATACTTTGGGAAATACTAAAAGGGCCCAGCAGAAACTGGAAATTTTAGCAGGATGAAAACCACTAATGGGGACAAAGAACAAAACCTCACTTGCCTCCCACATACAATGGGAGACTGCCCGGAGCATGGAGCTACACCCAGAAAAACATTCTGAACCAAATAATAACAGATTAAGTTTTATTTAAAAATTAACACAGAACAGATTTTCCCTCCAATAAATTAGGAAGTTAAAAATCAAAGCACATACAACTGAATGCTGGTAAAAGTATCATCTGAATCAGAATGCACAGAGCACCATGGAAAGTACTGGAGTGGTCCAGGCTACTGGGAGCTGTCTCTAAATGCTGTTTAGAACATGACTAGCACTCACAAAGGGATAACCTCATCTTATGGGACTGAGAAGCAGACAGCCTTCATAACGTGGCCTATCCAAACTCCATTTCTCAGTTTCTTTCATGGAAAAACATTAGGCTTGTCAGTGATGGTGGTGGTTTCACCCTGGCTGGGTGACAGGTACCCACTAAAGCCACTCTATCACCCCCCAACACAACTGAACAAGGAATGGAAAATATAACAAAGGGTTAATGGGTTGAGATAAAGATCAGGAGAGATTACACACCCATTACTGTCATGGGCAGAACAAACCTGACTTAGGGAAATTGAATTTATTACCAATCAAAATCAGAGCATGACGCAAAACAAGTCTTAAAAACACCTTCCACCTAGCCCTCCCTTTTTCACACCTCTACCTTTTTCCCTCAGTGGTGTAGGGAGACAAAATGGGGGTTATGGTGAGTTCAGCACAGGGGTTATGGTCAGTTCATTACAGGTTGTTTCTGCTGCTGCTCAAGGATAAGAGTCCTTCCCCTGCTGCAGCACGGGGTCCCTCCCATGTGACACAGGTCTCCACAAACTCCTCCATGGGCTACAGCTCTTCATTCACTGCTCCTCTGTGTGTCCCCACAGGGTCACAAGTCCTGCCACCAAACCTGCTCCAGTGTGGGCCCCTCTCTGTCCATGGAGCTGCAGGTTCCTGGCAGGACCTACTCCAGCAGGGCCATTCCATGGTGTGACAGCTTCCTCAGGGCACCCCTGCTCCAGAGCCCTCCATGGGCTGCAGGCCCAGGGCAGCTGCACCATGGGCTGCCCCACGGGCTGCAGGGGAATCTCAGCTCCAGGGCCTGGAGCACCTCCTGCCCCTCCTTGTCCACTGACCTTGGCCTCTGCAGGGCTGTTCCTCTCACACATTCTCACTCTGCTCTCCTGTGGCTCTCCTCACACCTGCACAACAGCTTTTTCCCTTCAGAACACAGGATCACAGGGATGGTACTGACATCCTGTGATGGCCTTGGCCAGCAGTGGCTCCATCCTGGAGCTGGCTGGCATTGGATTCCCTGTTGGACATGGGGGAAGCTTCTGGCAGCTTCTCTGCCACACCTGCACTCCCTCCACCCCTCCCTTCTACCAAAACCTGGCCATGCAAACCCAACACACTCCACTCCTCACCACTGTGAATCACACACTTAAGAATTACCATTAAAATGGTAATTCTTCACACAGAAAACAAAATAACATCACAACACTGAATGAAAGTGGAAAATTTACACTAAATTCATTCCCTTGTCCCTTCACCACAATTACAACTAAAATTTCCCACCATTATTGTATTCTCTGACATTGTTCAGACCATGTTTGTCCCTCTCTCAATTATTATACTTATCTCAAATTCCTTCATGCTCCTGGGTTTCATCAAATTAGAACTGTACATATCGGTAGATGAAGTGACTGATTAAAGCCCTTGAAGCTACAGTATTAGGTAACTGTAATATTACAGATCTATTTTCAGTATTCCCTACAATAAGTTCACAAAAATAATCATTAAATTAATTTTTTAAAAAATTCAACCTAACTCGATGATTAGGTGAACATTTTGCATACTAGGGAAAACCAACAGCTGTCAAACACACGAAACACAGGAAAAGCAGACTTACATTTGTGTTGCAGAGTTTGTATTGCTTGTAGGCACCAATGCAGACGATGGCCGCAGCCCTCTGGGGCTGGGGCTGGCCCTGCAGGGCCTGAGGGCTGGAGTCACCGCCGTGGAACAGGCTCTGAGACACGGGGAACGAAGGGGACTGATACACCGAGGGCCCCAGGACTTGGTGCCCTGCCTGAGGCCCCCCTGGCTCCTGGTAGAGGCTGCCATGCTGCAGGGAGGGAGCAGCAGCCTGGCTGTAGGGGCTCAGGAGGCTCGGGCTCTGCTGGAACAGGTGGCTCCTGGACGATTGGCGCTGCCGCCGCAGCTTCTGGGGCTGCTGGCCAGTGTCAGTTTGTAAAGGTAAAATGTATGGCACCTTCCCATAGCCATACTTCCCTGGACCAATGGGATTTCTGTTTCTGCTTCTAAAAACAGAGAGAGACAGAGAGAGAAAACAGTTACTGACTCCATAAGCGAAGGAGCAGCTAGGTATTTACAGGACTTATCATAAATATGACCAAGATGTAGTCAAGCTTGATCTATTAGGAATCTCAGAAGACCTTGATCCTAACACTGCAGTCTGACACGTAAGTTGGCAAAAACCATTTCTTCCAGTTCAGAGCAATGAATAAATACAGCTATTCTTGGTGACATTTGCAGCTCAGGAAGGGAGACACCATTAAAGAAGAAGAATTTTCCTTCTGTACATAAAATACATTTATGTTTTTAATATATATGCAAAACTGACTTGAACTCAGTGAAAACCAGAGATTATAAATTGACATACTTATTTTCTAGAAACAGAAGTGCTACAGATGTCAGACAGCCACCAGATCAAAGGGACCTTTCTTTGGGTTTGTTTTTATTTGGGTTTGTTTTCTTCCCAAGTCTTATATTCTCCCAGGACTCCTGCTAGCTGGGAACCCTGAAAGTCATTTACCTCCCATCCCAGCCTTATGGCCACTTGGGGCTTTTAATCAATCTTGCTCAGTCAAGATGTGTGAACCAGAGTGCTGATTTGCCCTGGCAGATAAGCAACCAGCACTCTTGAAGTGTTCATCCCTGTTAATCTGTCTGTGACCATGACAGTCATTGTTGAGGGAAGCTTTTGGTAGTTACAGCACAGAGAGCAGTATAATGGGTTTGGTATTAAGGGAGGGAAAGAAAAGCTTCCCATAACTATACAGGAGAGGAAAGAAACAGAACCCTTAAGCCTTGTCCTACTTAGCCAGACCTAAACAAGAGTGAGATTACACAAAATTAGTTTTTCTGTTGCTCCCTAGGCTAGAAGAAGAGCAAGACAGAATAAGAGGAAAGAAAGTACTCAAGAATATCTGCAGCCAACTAGGACAAAAAGGGGGAAAAATGCCACCAAGAATGGAGGTACAATCTAAAGGTAAATTACTGCTAACAGAGAAATATTTGTAGAAAAGCATTATGTAATTCATGTCAGCCCACAGCCAGCAGCCATCTCTGATCTACTGTGTTCATCTCCAGCAGAGGCAGAACAGCTGTTTAACACAGGCCTGACAATCTCCTTTCTTTGGGCAAAATTCTCATATACACATACACCTCTTTGATTGCTCAGACAAATCTCTTTAGCACTTTGATAACAAAAATGATGAGTCCCTTTCAACTTCAACCAACCTAAATATATTCTTTATTTCAAATAATACATTTGCCCAGACAAGTAAGAAAATCAGGTTTTGTGCTGTTAATGTAAGAGTTGTAGCAAACATCATGATGATGATGTAGCATTTTTACTGTTGTAACTTCTAACAATTTCTCTCATGCTGAGACTATGTCAGCTGTGAATAATACAAACTGGCCCCTCTTAGCACATTTGCAGTGTCAAAAAGGAATCTGGTTGCCATAGCTTTTTCTAATTTTAGCCATAAGCAAACGTGTGCCTTGGCAAATCAGTGCATTATCACTGCCTCACAGCCTTCATGCTAAGAACAGTGCTTTGAACCTCAAGTGGTCTTCAAGACTGAAGCACTTTCAGAGCTGGTGGGCTGGTTATTTATACTGAATAGAAACCCTCTTTGAACTAAGGATATACAGTGTCTTTAAAATACACAGGTAAGATTGCAAATTTCCTGGGCCTCCACCTCTTCTCTTAAGTGCTCTTTACACAGCCTTTCTCCAACATACCTTTTTCATTTTTTCCCTTTTTCCATCACTTCCTCTCTCCTTACATTTCTCCCACTGCCTCTAAATGAAAGTTCCCTGGCTTACTTCCAGCTGAAGCACAACTCGTTTTCTTTCTCTTCTGAGGTCAGGCAGAATAAAGAATGTATTTCCATGAGCTTTTCAGCATTTCATTTATCTTATCTCCTAGTATCAAAGTACTTCTCTTGTAAATGAAAAACTGCAAGGGTGAACATTAGCAAAACCACTCATTTATGACAACAAGGAAGACTTGTTGTACAACTGCTGGAAAGTTTCCTTAGAATGAACCCAAAGAAGCTTCTGATTGATCTCATTTTCAATTCACAACCTTTCACTGCTTCTGAAGAAATAATGTAATGTTTTGGAAAGGTAACAACCTTCAGCCTCCAGATTCTCAGAGAGAGTAAAAACAACACCTAGACCTTTATTTTAATTTTGTGTAGCATTTGGTCAAGTTTGAAGCTTTTTTCAAAATCTTCAAAGGCTTCCTTTACCAAGAGTCCTGTCCTGGAATGAACATTAAAGTCCTCTAACATGCTAAGGAAACCCCTGTCCTCAGTGAGTCTGCTCCAGCTGCATTTCTGGGTGCCCAGGGCTCAGCATTCTCCAGGTTCTTGCAGGTTCTCCTCACTGGGAATCCAGCAGCTGCCCATAATCCATTCTCTGAAGTGTTGCTGGCTGTGCTTGTGCCCTATCAGCACAGCAACAGCCCAGAGCCAGCACCTACTGAAGCTGAACTTAACACTGATCTATCAGCAGAAACAGAGGTTTCATGTGCAAGATGAAAGTGGAAGAAAAGAGAGAAGACAGGTTACAAATGTTATTTATACTTTATTTCCCAAAAAATAGCCCACATTATTTATCACTGTAGAAGTCCTTTGAACTATACTGATTTGTGCTTTGGTGTTGCTGTTCTTAATTTCCATTTTAAAAAATGCTCCAAAACGGCAGTTCTTTGACTTTGGTTAGAAAATTACTTCTAAAGGAGCTGAGTCCCCTTAGATCCCTATCAAAGCTTTTTGGTTTAAATTTAAGCCATTCTACTCATCATTGTTTTAAACAGAACTGCTTTTCAGTGGGCAAAATTGTCTATAACTGGTATCAATTACATACATTAATTAAATCTATTTCTGTGGAGAAGTATGCCAATATTTAGCCTAATACTTGAGATCATAGCAAAATATCTGTTTTGCAGCACTACATTACTGTCATTAATTGACAGGTTTCAAAGGACACTACTCATCTACTCACAGTTGGAGTATTTAGTACAGAGTTGCCTTGATTCTTTTTCTGAAGAACTGAAAGTGACTTATTAGCTATTCCTGTCAGCAATGAAGCTATTGAAATATTATTCAAATATTTAAAATGTAATTAAGGAAAGAAAAAAAAGGGAGATGGAAAAGTCCTTGGAGACACAAAATGTCAAATTGGAAAAAACCTGGTCCTAATTCTGTAAGTTTCTGTTAACAGGATCACTCTGGGCATATATTTTTAATGTACTTTTTTTTATTACCTTTTTTATTACTAGATAATGTTCTTAAAATAATTTCAGACATGCACATTTAATCCATGGCATTTCCTCCATAATTCAAAACTGTGACTGGCCTACAATTGTCCAAGGCAATCATTTACTTTCCTGCCCTCCTACTGCTTTTAATTTTCTTTCATACTTTATATATTATTAGGCAGACAGTTAACAAGGTATGCTTTAAAAAAATTCCACCATAAATTTTTTCCCCCCTTAAGTCACAAAATAAACTGTCTTATACTGTTCATAACTGTTAGTGAGTTTATACCTCACAGTGTTTTAGCACATTCTTTGACAGGAATCATAGTTAGCAAAATGACTGATCTACTGAGTCTGGGAACAGATTTCCATCTACTCAGGAAGGAGAGCTCCCAGCAGTCAGGCTGATTCCCATCAAAAGCCACCCTGCACTGCCACTCCCACGGCAGCACAGCCTGTGCTGCTCTGCATTCCACGTACTCACCTTTGCACCAGCTCCAAATCAATCCGGAGAAAATCACTTAAACATGAATGAATGAGAGAAGGGAGCCCTTTGACTGTTTCACGTTACAAAATGCATGCCTGTCTGCTCACTGATCTAGAAACTGGCCTTACAGCAGTGAGAAGAGATCTCTGAAATGTTTGCTCTCAAAAGCTCAGGCAGCCCTCTCAGAGAGCATCACTGCAAAGTGGGGCCAACAGCACCGACCTGTGCCACTCTCCAGCACGTTCTTCCCTTCACAACACCAACCTGTGCCACTCTCCAGCACATTGTTCCCTTCCCTGTGCTACACTCAGCACGTTGTTCCCTTCCCTTCACCATCACACTGCAGGGCAGCTCAACAGGGCAGGCTGTTACTGCATCTCACTATTGGCATTTTCATGAACTAAAATGGGAACTAATTGCCTTTTTTACATTCATGGTAACTCTGGTAACCACACCATAATTTGTGGATACGCACTGTTTCCCATGTATCACACATACATAAGAGTATCAAAATCATTGGGAGCCTATTTTTCCTAAAAAATTCAACTGCTAGAATTCACAGAGCACCAACAATGTCTAAAAAGTGTTTCTTCTGAAGAAGAATGGATTATACCACATTACACCACAAAAACTCTCATTTCTATATCAAAGTAGGGGGAAAAGATATTTACATTTTTCTGAGACATGAAAATTAAACAATAAGGTCACTAAATAAACTGTCTCTTGGGAACAGGTTTAATTAATGGGATGTAAACTATCTTAAATGAAATTTTCCATCCTCAGAGATCAGCACTGATACCCCAGTTCAGTATAGCTGCAATATGCCCAGTACAATAATTTAGTATGTTTGCTTTTACTGATCTCTCAGCAAGTGCTGTATAACCTCATTTATGTGACTTTCAACACTGAGATAGGATTTCAAAATTCAAACCCAAATACTTCAATCCTCTTTTTCAATAATACCTCTGATCCCAGGCAATTCTTCTTCTTTAAGATTTGATTGAATAATGCAACCATGCAGTTGGCAGGTAAACCAGCAGAAATTCAATGCAAGTACCCTCATAACTCTGCTGAGATGCCTTCCCTCCTTATGGGAAGTTTGGCTGTTTCTAGCCCTCACTGATGGGCAATAATTCAGTGGTACCTGACTAAAGAGCAGCAGGGTTCTCACGTCCCCTCCCTCAGTGAGCCCAGCTCAGAAAGGGATGAAATGTTCAGTATTAAGAATAAGCTTGCTTAGGTGGTTTGCAATTATAGTACTGTCTTAGGGGGTTATTTCTGGTAATCCCACTCAAAGCATGCTTGCAGCAGCATAATGAGAACTGATACTGATTTGGTAATAACAAGACCTATAGAGCATGTCATGGGGATTAATACCCCAATGAGAGGTGTGAGGCCTGAGCCATCCCAACTAGCTTCTCATTTTGTGAGGAAACACCTCATTTGAGCATTATTGCCACTAGATCCTGTCCAGAATTTTATTCAGAAGGAAAAGAAACACCTTCCTCACATGGCTTCAAATCCCCCAGGTGCTACCAACACGAATTGTTTGATTACCATTCCTGCTCTTAGATCTTTCTGGAAAACTTATCCTTACCAAGGGATCCAATCCTTCTCTCTCTATCTTCCTTCTGTACACACACCAACCCACAGTAAGCTTTTAGAACCATGGTGGGCTTGGGGTAAAATCCATCACATTTTCATTCCATGAGAGAACTAATGAAAGGAGGGGTGGCCAAGCACTTGAGCTGGGTATCATTCCAGATACTAAAAAAGCAAACACTCATGCCAATAAATATAAAGCCTCACAACTTGAGAAAATAAAACCTTCTTGAACCTTAAGGTCCAGCAACCACACATTTTTCCACCTCTAGGCACTGGAACTAACCAGAACAGGTCACAGAAATTGCATCACAACACTTTGGCTACTGGTTAAAGAAATAACAGAATTGTCCTTTGAAAAGTTGACTGTAGACCTGCCAACAGAGTGACCTACATTTGCCTGATCAGAGCATCTGTGAGAGAGGGCAAAAGAAATACTTTCAGAAAGGAAATTCTGGTTTGACATTAAATGATGCACTCAGTTCCTTTCCATTGCTGAAAGGCCCAGAAATGCAGAGTGACCCTACACAGGGTACAGAGCAGCACAGCAGACTTGCACGTCAGCTGCTGGCAGCACAATAAAGGCCCAGAGCTACAGCCATGTGAGAAGTCAATGATTTCTGGATTATTTCCTCAGTGCAAATTTTTCCTCTCACTCTTCTTCCAAAGACACAAGAAATGCTTTAGGGAAGCCCTTTCCTTATTAACATGCTTCTTTAACTTGCACTATTTATGCCAGAATGCTTTAGTTATTTTGTTATTCTGGTGATAATTCTAGTTTTCTTCTTTCTGCTCCTATGACCCCAGATACAAAATACATATCACACTCACACAACAGGACACTGAGGTTTCCTGCTCTGCCACCAAAGCCTAAGTGAAGCAAAAGTGAAGGTGGCAGCTGGAAACATCCTACACTCAACACATTGGTGAGGAATTGTGGTTCTGTCTTCTCCATCACCAAAATAGCGAATTGGAAATGCAACATTTAAGAAGTACTAAAACCTAGTCCATGAATACTTCCTTTCAACATGTGCTTTCTCTCTTAAAGCATCTTATCTTTCTGCATGCCCTTATTACTTTTCTGTATGTGCCTCTCAATAAAGATGTTTAAATGCTTTAATATTTTTCCCTATCTCCTCTTTCCTGTTCGTCCTTGGTGTGTGTGCTTCATGCACTTGAGCTAGGTGAAAAATAACAAACCAAGTCTGTGCCACAGGGAACTCAGCTCTTCAAAGCTGGGGAGGGCTCCCTGCCTCTGCCAGGGGACAGTCAGTGATTGTAATTAACACATTTCAATTTCAGTAATTTTCAATTACTGCACTGAGTACAGGGGAGCACTGAATTTTTTTAAACCAGGCTTCTAATTGTAGGTACCTCAAACCTCACTCCCCCTGAACTTCTCATGCAGTCCTGGTTTCTAATGCCTAACTAAAGTAAGTTTCAAAAGCTGAAAATGTGAATACCCTCTTCAAAGACAAGGCATAGCAAATTTTATGACAGACAAGTTCTATTTTGGATTTTGCTAAAAAATCCCTAATCAGTTCTTTGTCAGCTGCTTGGAAGCAGGCAGAGAACATTTCCTCTTGCTGGTAAATGATACAAACACACTGGGCTGCTGTATAGGCCTGCTATTGCTGTTGAAAATCTTTGCCTTGGAAGCCCTCCAATTTCATTCTACCATGTTATCAATGTGAGCTTATCTCAGTCACAGATGTCCATTCCTCTCTTATTGTTTTATGGAAGTGTTCTAAAATTACAGCTTTTATATAAAGTCCAGTGCAGTAAATAGAAATACCCCAGAAAGTTTCCATTAACTGTACAAATTGAGAAAACACAAGTGTTATTTAACAGCCTGACATGAATTTCCAATATCATCCTTTTAGTGAACACTAAACAGTTCTACAGTATAAAAATCATGTGTAGCGTAACTCACATTTTGAAATCCATTTTCCATCTACCTGATAGGAACAGTCATCTCCTTTGTAAAGAAAGTTTTTACTCTGGATTTTGTAAATCAAGGAAAACTATTGGGTTTGTCATTCATATGATTCCATTTTCAAATAACATTTTTTGTTCTCATTCTGTTTTTACAGTCATCACCAAGGAATCTGAAAGTTATGCAATACAACAGGCTTTAAAGCCACCAGGGACCTGCTAAAACAAGATGGAAATAACTTATTATGCAAGTAAGATTAAAACACTGACCTTGAATCCAGTCTTTTGCCAAGGGGCAGAGTGTGTGGGGGTGGAAAATCAACTGTGGTACAGAAGTTTGCACTGGGCTTAGGAAAGCACAAGAATTTTCAAAAGCAAACACCTCCACCATACAGGAAAGTGAACATTTTAATATTTCATATGGAAAGGCCTTTCTTAGGCAGTAACACAGCTTCAGCTCTGCACACAGTCAGTGCCATGCTCCAGCCAATCCTGCAGCGGCTGCTCCAAGCCCTCCCAGCCTGGGCTGGCCTGCAGGGGCCACCAGGGCAGCAGGGACAGCCCCGGGGATGGCAGCAGAGGCAGCGGGGCTGTGCACAGCCAGCCGGGATTCCCTGGGACACAGAGGTGCCAAGGGCCAGAGCACAGAGCCTTTGGATGGCCTTGTGCTGACAGTTCAGGGCCAGGCTGCCATGCCAGCAATAACCCAGCCATGCACCACAACCTGGGGCTGTCACACTGCACAGCCCAGAACAGAAGTGCATTATAGCCAATTATTAAGTAGGAAAACAGAAAAAAGGAAATATGACTTTTGCCTCAATGCACTCATGTTAACACTACTAATCCTGTCTCTGGCACTCCCTGAGCTCTGTGAGACCATCAGTGCTGCACTGGCTTTGTGTTCAGCAGGTCTGGGCTGTCATTGGCATGGGTTTGACAGAAACACAAAGCAGGGACAAAGGAAATTGGCAACAGCAGAGAAGACCAACATCTGAACAGCTGGTCCCAATTTTTGAAACTCTTGCTTCATTGAGACAGGCAGGGGCTTTACAGGTTAATTCTATTTTCAAGTATTCTTTTCTATGCACAGGCTTTCTTGCAGGGGTTGAGAATGTCTTTATCAGCAGCAACAGAGATCTACTGTCTTATTCCAGCCAGGCTGGAACACTGCCTCAAGGTAACAGTCTTTCTTATGCTGTTAAAGACAGCAAAATATCTTGAAAAAGGGAATTACAATTGACTGCTTCACTAAGAACCTTAAAGATGCAGATGATATAAGAAAGGTTTCTTTGGTTATGTCTGCAGGGGGAAACTGGGGTGTTTTCTGTTTTGTTTGGGTGTATTTGTCAGCTACCCCAAAAATCTTCTCTTCATGCATCTCCCAGAAGAGAGCTGAGAGGGGAAGAACCAGAGAGCTGCTGGAATACATATACAGAGGAAAGACAGAGAGAACAGACATTTAAGGAGTGCTCCATCCCAGGGGATCTCCATGCCTGCTCTTCTCAGTCTCCAGACTAGAAACACATCTATTTTCCTTTCACACATATGTAAAAGAAAATCTGATAGACTGATATCTAAGTGGATAAAGAAGTGTTTCTCCAGAAATGGGGAAATTAATTGGAATTACTTATAACAGCACAGCTTTGCCCAGCCTTAAAGACTGTTACTGTGAAATTCATAAAAACATACACAGTGTTTAAAATATTCTATGTATTAAAAAAAACAGGAAATTTTGCTAAAAGGGAAAATTTCTAAAAGGTAGGAAGGTAGGATTTGCAAAAAGGTGGGAAGAAAAAAAGAAAAAAGAGAAAACAAAAAGACAACAAAGAGAAATACAAAACAAGAGTTTTGAGTACAACTAAAGTCAACAGATGTTTGACCATCCTTTATGAAAAAAGTTAACTTTTTTCCAACCAATTAATATCAGGCTGGCTGCTGACGTTAAGAATACAATTATAGAACACTTATTTGTTCTGATATTTAATGGAAATGTCAAATGAGAGTGCAGCAGAAAAGGCAAAACCTCTCAATAAATCACAACACAAAGTGAGATAATCTGAGTAATGACACCTGCCCTTGGCATCATGTATTAGTCAGGGGAGGGCCTCGAAGGCAGTAAGGCAGAGGGCAGTAGCCACGGTAAAAGCCATTCTTGTCTCTGATAAGGTCCCTGTAGAGAAGCCCCTGTGTGAGAAGCCCCCGGTGCCCTGGCACAGCCGTGCCCAGCCCGTACCTGCTGTCGGGCCTGGCGCTGTGCCGCGGGCCCTGCGAGTGCCGGCTGCCCCTCAGCGCCGCCCGCCCGCCCTGGCCGCTGCTGCTGTTCCGCGGCGGTGCCCACGGCTGCTCCTCGCTGCGGTGCAGCGGCACGGAGGTGCGGATGGCAGAGATGACGTGCCCGGGGTAGGCGGACAGCGAGTCCTCGCGGTGGGCGCCGCGCTCGGGGGCCGGGAAGTGGCGGCCCGGGCGGCGGTAGCCGCGCTCCCGGTAATAGGCGGGCAGGCAGGGCCGCGTCTGCTCCATGACGCCGCCGCTGCAGCTCCGCGAGCAGGCGGACCAGGGCCCCCAGCTGCCCCACAGGCCCGGCACTCCGCCGCTGTCCTCGGGGCCATCGCCGTGCTCCTCTATCCTCTGCGGCACCTGCGGACACAAGGACAGCCTTAGGAACAGGAATAAGGCACACCGGAGTAAGGGGAGCACCAACACCTCGGTGTTCAGCCCTTCACTCCGCACTCTCAAGAGAAATGGAATGGCATCGGAAGTAACTTGTGCTATTCCCTGCCTGCCAAAGGACTGCCAGTACAGGACGTCTCCTACAGCCATCAACCATTGGGACAAAAAGTTTGGGGTTGGTTATTCCAGATTTTGTGGTGGTTTTTTGTTTGTTTTTTGTTTGTTTTGTTGTTGGTTTTTTGGGTTGGGTTATTTTTTGGTTTTTCTTCTGGACTACCTGGATAGAAATAGATTTTCTTTGTTCTCAGCAATGGAAAAATTGCATGATGCAAAGCTTGGAAATGTGTTATAATATTACCAAAAGCAGGAAATAAGGTCACTTTTGGTAATGAAATTGGGTTAACAGACACTCACTGCTCTGCTGCACTCTGACACTTCAACAATGCAGAGTGCTGGTGGTTGCAGTAATATTTCAGGAACTCCCATCTAATGTGGAACTTTTTACAAAGGCAATGATGTAAGAGGACAGGTTGATTTCCAACCATCCCAAAATGCTGGTAGAGTTAACTCTTATATTACCACTCTTACCCTAGTCCCCACATTACCACTTCAGGATGACTCACTCAATCCTACATTCACAGAAATCTCAATAAAAAATGGGATAAATTGTTGGTCTGGAGTTCAGTGCCACTTAAGTCCATACTCACCATTCAGCAGCACAAGGCAAATGAAAAAAAGGCAGAGGATCCTTCTCAAAAAGGAAGCTAGGAAGGATTAGGAAGGGCAGGGTCTCTCCACAAGGAGAGTTAAGCCCTCAAGCCAAATATTTTAAACATCCTGACCTTGTGATTGGAAAGGTAGCAGCACAGCCAGAAGTTACAATCACTCATCCCCAAGGTTTACTGACCTTGGAGCTGGATAGAGTCAGGATTTCTCAGTGTTTTACACTAAACAAAGTACTAAAACTTGCAGTTTTTCTCTTGCTTCTCTTGAACAACTAGTTGAATCACAAGGTTTTAAGCAGGTTCCCAATATCTTATTCTCACAGTTATTAATATGCAGAACATTCTTTTAAATGAGCATCCTTTAAGTAGTTTATTAATACTCTGAACAAGTTTTGTACCGACAAGCACACACAGGCATCATTTTAGCTGGGAGACAAGAAAAGGCACTGTCCACAAACGTTTGCCATACCTCTCCAGCCCTATTCTAGTGCAGCTACCTCAAAATGAGCTTTGGAAAGCCAGCCTTGGCTGGCTGTCACTTCTCCCCCTTCACAGCATGAGAACCTGAACCCGTAACTTCCCTTAATAATTTTGCCTCAAACGTGAGTGTATAACAGCACAGGGTTACCATGTGGGTAACACCCTGGGTCTCTCAGCACTGGCCCCACACTGGTGGCTGAGCTGTGCCCCAGAGTGCCAGGGAGCAGCACACCCTCCTCATCAGCTGCCTGCAGACAGGCCAGGCTGCTTTGCACACATGCCTTGAACACAGCATTACAATGCAACAAGCAAGCCAGCACAGGGTTTGTGCTGCTGCTGCTGGGTAATAGTCACTTGTGGGCTACATAATCTGATACATTTCCCCCCTCTGAGGTTGCTCTCACACTTTCATCACCAACCACAGAAAATACTGCATTTAATTATAACTTGTGATTAATAAAAAGCATCTGCATTAGTGTGATATGTTACCCATTTCTCCCATGTCATTGGAAAACAGGAGCAGATGTCTCTGTATTTAATGTCTTTTTTCCTGTGCATACTCCATTTGGCATGAGCCTTTAAAATCCAATAGCCTGTACAACCTAATACCACATAATGTCAAACTTAGAACATGCAGCAGGGTCCTTCTGGCTGCTACATTTGCTTCCATATCCAATAACAGAACCACTGGCTCACACTTTGACCAACTAAACAAGCTATTCTTCAGTTTGTGATTTTTCCAGTGAATATTCACTGCCCATACTTACACTATGCATTAATGTGCTCTACCCTCATATATTAAATGGTAATGACTACACACAGAGACACTCTTCTGGTCTCAACTCAGTCAGCAGTAAAATTTTCTTACTGTAAAACTAACAGTCCTTTGTTGTCAGACAAGGTTTCACTTGTTTGGGCTATGTAATCATTTCTACAGTGGTTCAGTACACCTGGTTTTTTTAAATGCCAAAGACACTCACGCAGGCAACAACTAAAAACTATAACCTGCAAACAATTCAAGTTCTCACTAACACAAGAAATGTACCATTTTGCAGGAATGGAAACTGAATCGTGCAAAGTGTCAACCTGCTACAGACAGAACCTTCCAGCTGCCAAACTTCATTGCAGCAAGAATTGGTTCAGATAAAATGACGTTTCATATGACTGAAGGCAATGTAAAGTAATTTCACACCTCCTAATCTTCATGGTGAAAGAGTTGTAAACATAGCACAAGAAGGTTTAATCCAGCTAGTTAAGGGAGAACATAAAAATAAAACTTTTTAAAAGTAACATTATAATGTCATACTGATAGATAAATTTATCAATACTACTTAGTTGTAAGATAATATTTTGAGATGGGAATTTTCAGTAGCAAATCCGGTTATGAACTTTTATTTTCTTACTTTTCTTACTGATTTCTTACTTTGGATAAGATATGGGCTACAGATGGATCTTCAGAGGAGATGATGTGATTGATGGCATAATCTACTCAGTGAGTTCTACTATGAGAGACTGAATAAACTGAAGCTGCTTAGTTTAGGGAAGGAGAAACACATCGGATAATATGGCACTTCCAAACAGTTTACATAAATAAATACAAAGATCCCGTTACTTTTCTCTTTGCAGCAAACTGTTCTTGTTTATAGCCAACACATGAATAACCATTGGGATTTAAATTTAATCAAAGGTGATCCCAATTAAAGGGGGGAAACTACTTAGAGAGAAGGCAAACAAAGCCCAGGAACGAACTGCCTGAGGAGATCTTGGCAGCACTGAGACCAATCCTAAAGCTCTACCAGGAAAACGAGGTGTCACTGACCCTTCCCCAGGGCAGAGGAGCTGAATTACAGCACTCACAGGCCGGTTCCCCTCCTTTGATCCTGTGATTTCCAGATAACTTAGTAGCCAAGAAGAAATTCTGCCACAGCTCTGTGATACAGCCGAGAAATTCCAGCTGAAATTACAGGATTCAGCTGAAGTATTTCAGAACCTCTCAGACACACCACATACTCAGAGATCCCTGACATTAGGTCCCTCCTTCTCTTGTTTTATCAACTCCCCATTAAAAGCACACTTTCTGAGAGGAAGAGTCTGAGCCTGCACTGGGGAATAAGTGAAATGCAAACTGAACTTTGCTTGCCAAATTAAGTCATGAGATTAAATTCTTTAAGAGAGTCACATAGCCCATTGATAGAGATCAACCAACCCATTTAATCTACTTTCCCATAGTTCATGAATGATTCCTTCTCTAGGTGACCTAGACTAGTTCTAACTATAAGTGCACCACCAAGATTTTTATTTACTGCAAATATTTTTATTTACTGCAAATCACAACCAAATATTTTCCTCTGCAAACTCAATTTCTTTTTCCTTTTAATTTCCCCCTTTCTTTCCTATACATTTTTCAGTAATTTTAAACCAGGGCTTGGAAGTGGACCCAGTATTTTTCACTACATGCAGCTGTACAAGAAACAACGTAAAGAAAAGTAAGACAAGTAAGTTTTCAGGTATGCAAGTGCTCGCAATTTCTACAACTCCTATTAATCTGCTATCAAAGATGGCTTAAATGAGAAATTTTCTTCATAATGACTGTGTACACACCAAATATCTTCCAACCTGCCACCTTTTGACCAGTGAGTGGCAAATGGAATTGAGGCTGGAGTTTCAGAAGGGTACTTTCAGGGTCACCCCTTTCTTTGCTCACCAGTACCCTGCATCCCTTTCTGTTCTCTTTCCCCAGTTTTCTTGTATTCTGTCCCTTTTGTACACAGGAGCTGCACTACATATGGGTTTTATTCTAAAAGAGTTTGTTGTTTGGTTTTTTTTCTAAAATCATATGGAATTAAAAATACTACCAGCAGGCTGACATGGATGACATTTTAAATAGAAAAATAATTTGTCTTAATTCATGTAATTCACCAATCACTCTGATCCCGAGTCAAAAATTCAGCAGAAAGTAGGAATACACAAGGTATAGAAATTCAATGCCAATTTCCAGTACTGCCTCTGTCAGAATTCAGAAATAAGATCCACATCTCAGGATTTCAGCAGCAGTTGTTGAAACTGTGCTATGCAAGAACGTCCCTGAAGAGGAAACGTCACTTGAACTGAAAGCCACAACTATTTAAAATGGAACTTCTTGTGCAGGAAGACAATGGCAGACAATGCTGTACTGATCTGACAAACCCTAATTTTACATACTGAAGGACACTTCATCCTGTTAAACTATAGCTTAAATACAAATTAACTGCTCAGAAAAGTGGAAGGGGAAAGGCTTAGGTCAGAGGCCCATTTAACTCAGTACTGTGTTTCTGATTGAGTGGAAGAAGCAAAACTTTAGGAAACAGCGTAAGAACCAGGACAAATTCTGAGATATCGAGGGACCTTCTGCTTACAGCTAATCAGTAATTTAAGGGCCTCCTTCAGCTAAGCACCATATTGCCATTGTTCTTCACAACCACTACTGGACTTATTCTCCATGAATACAATTAATACATTTTTTAGTATATTTTTAATCTTGTCTTCCAAAAGATTGTAAATTTACATTGCAAAAGTGCTTCTCTTGCTCTGGTCATACATGCAGCCTGACCACTTCACTCTGTCTCCCAGATTTTTCTTAGTGACAAATGAAGAATGATCATTCTGCATTCTTCTTAACCATGCTATGATGCCTGATTTGCAATTGCTAACACAATCCAGGATCTCTTTCTGAAATTCAGCAGTCCTAATCTGTTCAGTTTCTTTTTGTAAGGAATTCCTCAT